ATTTTCGAGAGCATCGGTTTAGAAAATTGGAAAATTAACAATTCTTTCTCTACATTCAGCATGAGTAAAAATGGTCTTTCTTTACGTTGATTGGCTTCAATAATGTCAATTAGAGAGTACGAGTAAAAAGATTAAAAATGTTAAAAGAAGAATGAATTTAATATTTTCGATATGAATTAAATTACTTCAATAAAACCTATGTAATTTTTAATTTTTGTTCTTCAAAGAAATGAATATGTTTTAATTTTATTTTTCAATGAGCATTCACAGATAATATGCATTTGTCAATATTTAATTAATGTACGTATAACATTTCAGATGATAATAAAATGGTATTTTTCATTTACTGATCTTTCACTAGGAATTTATATAAATGGATGCCATTTCGAACTTTAGAAATAGCTTTTTCACTAGCTTTACTAGTAGCACTTAATTAATAAAGTTTTACTTTGATCGAAGAGAGAGAAGGAGGAAAGGAGAGAATATTCCTCGTTTACATAAACTTCTACAAATACTACAATAGACGTCTTCATAGAACTGGTATCGTTCTATCGAAGAAGAAATGTGATAGAAGTATCTTTATTTCAAGTAGAGCTTTAATTATTCTTAATTATTCTTAATTATTCTTATTACCTATTATCGCGAATAAATTTGCATCGCTCATTTAATCGGCATGTAATAATGATCCATTAAAGCTTAATATAAACGGTGACTTTTTCACAGAGAATATCTTTTGTTTGCAGAATATAAATGCACTAAATAATTTTCTACTAATTTTCTAACAATGCTAACAATAACGTTTCATCAACGTAAAACATGCGAAAATTGTTATTAAATTTGTTTTTGCTTTCACGCGTTACTTCAAATGATGCTTCAAAATAATTAGTAATAATAACTAGTAATATTTTACGCATTGTATTTTAGATATTCGATATTTTATAAAGATATCAGACAAAATATATATGTCAAAAATATTCAACTCTAAATTGCAACGACTCTAAATTGCAATTTGCTAAAAATGAAAAAGAAAAATGTATAATCAATTATCGTTTTATAAAATTCGTATATCATACTAATTCAAGCATGGATGTTTAAAAGAAGAGAGAGAATCATAATTAAAAATGTGACAAATTATTTCTATGAATCGTTTTTTCAATGTAGGTAAATATCAACATTTTTTAGCAAATGTGTAGAATATTTTTCATTATTTCTAATGAAGCAGTTGAAATTGGAGTTTATTAATTCGGAAGCGTATAACATTCGCATTTCGAATATCGCGAAAATTCTGCGTGCTGAAAACATTTTGGTAATTGAGTATCCAAAGTGTGTAAATAGGTCATAAAACCTCGTTTCTCGGTTGATTTAACCGGACTCAGTTTTAATGTCAATTTTATCGGGAACTGAATTGCCAGAATGTTTAATATTGAAAATAACGGCCTGCCGTTAAATTTACGCGAAGGAAATATCGAGCCTCCGAGTCTCGGTAAAAGAATCTCTCGTTAAAATTTAATACTGCGAACGTACATGGCGAGCATCGCACGTCGCTGTAGCGAGAAAACTGTAGCGAGATCCGAGTCGCGATACTCTGAACAGCAGAGAAGCAGGAAATTTCGATTTATCGCCGAGATAGAAGGAGCGGACCGATCTTCCTTTTTTCGAACAACGTCGGGTCATATTTTTCGAGGACGAGGGTGGCGCAAGCTCCGCGGCGACAAGTCGGTATAATAAGATGAGATACGTGGCCCAAAAGTTTCGTGTTTCCGCGAGACAGTCCGAAACGACTGAAAACGTAGCACACCGCAAAAGTGCACCGTCGAGAGACTATAATAATCATTTTCCGCCGGGACAGCCTGATATAACGTGACGGTACCGACGGAGAGTCGGGGGTTCACCGGAGCAGGCAAACGTTCAGCTGGTGCCTGGAGGATACTTCGCATAATTTTCTGCGGTGTTTCACAGGCCGCGATTTATCCTCGCGATCGTATCTAGGCCGCGATGCGTCGCGACGCGACGCGAAACGACGCGAAGAGTCGCGCCCGCGTCGACGAATAATCACTTTGAAGCACGACTGTAAGACAACGTAATCCCTCGTTTCCGGGAAGAACGTATGACGTTTTCCGGAAAATACGAACGTGTCGTCTTGCCGTACGACACTGTGAGAAGCTTGAGAATTAAACTTCTCACCTGGAGTTTCTACACACACGTATTGCACAAATGTTAATTCAATAATCGATTTTATGAAGTTTTTCGCTCTATTGAAAATTATTTTACGTTTGTACAAATTATTACATAATTTATCATTGTTTTGTTATGTCATTTGTTTTTGTTACTCGTTGATAATGATGGCTAAACGTTTGAGTCCTCGTTAATGACACGAGAAAATATAAAAATATTGTTGATTATTATCTATCGCGTGAATTATCACACAGACATTTCTATTTGCGGTTATATTGATCGGCGTGTTTATATGTCAAAGCACGCTCATCGATAACTTAATGTCGGTCGCGGCTTTGATTACAGTCTCGTTGGCGGGATCAGATGTCTGGAGAGTGCCAAAAGAATAATTTATGATATGAGAATTTTTCCAATGCCTCGGCTTATACGAGAAATCCGATACACGGTTCTTTCGATGCGAAACTAATCTCTAGGGATATACGCGAAATAAATTCTTTGATCAATTTGAAATCGATTTTACGTTAACGAAGATATTATCATTTGGGAAATTTTCGTTTATTTTCACGTACAAATAGCGGAGTGGAGAAACTTTTTCCATGCGGAGAGGATAATTCTTTAATAACAATGATATCATTCGATCTAGATAAAGTAATAATTTAAAAATATTAAAATTAGAGGAAGCAAGGAGGAGTGGGGAGCGAGCGTAATCCAAGATATATCTTGCGAAAATTAATTTACTAAGTGTAGGTCCGCGGATCGCATGTATACATGTAGTTGCCATAAAGAAATAGGTTAATTAACTGTAGAACGCCGTGGGTTCCCTACCGATATTCGCTAACGAAATATAAAACTACCACGTACTGCTGCCTTGTAAATATTCGACAATTTTCAAAGAGAACGTCGCTTTCACGCGTATACACTCTAGAGAGTTGCCTCTTACAATAGCTCAGATGAAAATATACTTCACCGGGTTTATCCACGTCGCGTAAAATCCTCGAGGACAAAGATTAATTTCGTAATCTCCGCGAAGGAACTTTCGAGATCCCCCACGGTTGGGTCCCGATTAAGCTCTCCACACCTCCGAGTGCGGAACTCGAGAGATATCATCGTGTGTCACGCGAAGTGTGAATTGCAGTGTCCATCTTCCGGGCGGCGAGACGCGCGTATCCCGAATACATCCGGACGCTTCGCAGGTGACACAGGTGCGGCCGGTGACTCTGTCACCGCGACATTTTCCACGTTCACGGTGAAATGTTTTCCCCCTTCAGCACGCGCACACCCTCGCGCCGATAAGCCGCACGCACGCTGCTTTATCGCAGGTTCGAGTACCGCGGGTCAACGACTCGTGTTCGCGACTGATGGCATACACGGCCGAGCCATTATCGCTGGAAGCCGCCGGTCTACAGCTCACTGTGCATCGCCCCGTCTGCGGTGTATCGAGATGTCAGTTAGCCGAAGTCGTTTTCTTTGTAGAATATTGCTATACGCTAATTAGCACGGTGCGTGCGAGCGCGACCGCTCACTCGCTGGACACGCACGACATATCTCGTGCGCAGCGGGAAAATAAATATCGTCACCGTGCATTATTAACGATTAATGCGCCACTGTTTATCCCGTACATTTGATCTTAACATTGTGGCGCCGTGTCCACACGTTATTTCATGGCTTCGGCGATAAGCCCGCAAGCTCGTCACTGACACCCGGTGATAAATCCCGAACGAACCGGCGAATCGCTATTGGACGATGCAGCATTTAACACGCTGGCCACCCGATTCGAATTCAGAAGGGAGCCCGAAATGTTGGTTCTATATTAAGCCTGCGCATTTCGGCGAACCCTTGAACCAACGGGAAATGTAGAGACAGAAAACTACAGAGGTTATGTCCTCTTTTGATACCTTGATTGATTGCAGACTTAAACTATAACCGGCGTATCTTCCCATTTTCAGTACATTTGTCAAACGCCCGTTAAAATCAGAGATATCTATAATAAATGATTTCACACACCTGAAAATACATAATGTATTGCTGGTAGTTTCTCGGTGTCTCGGTAGTTTCTCGGTGTCTTTCGTCTTGGTCTTCCGACCCAGGATATTGCTCTCAGTTCCTCCGTAGCATTCCAAATACTTACTCGTGGCATTGACATACGCGTAGGTATGTTTCAATCGGAGAAACCCATGTTAATTAACGCGATGTTACGGGAGTCCGTTTACGCGAAACGCGCGACATACATTCGACACATCGTGATAACAATATGGCCGATCGTATTAGATATTTGTACTTTGGAACTGCACTTTTTTGAAAATGGTTCGTTGAAATTTTGTGTCGCTTTAATATAGGTAATGTGTTAAAAAGCACACAGATACATGTGAAAAAGTACGTAAAAAAGAACACATGTGTCGAAGCGAATGTATTAATTTAACATTATATTTGTATACTTTTTGATACATTCTCCGTATTAAAGTATTAAAGTAATACAAAATTTCGGTGGACCGTTTTTAACACAAATATTTTTACCGTACAGTTTCAAAATTTAAAATAAAATACGTATATATATTTTGTACATGAAGCTCAAGGGTGCGTTCGAGGAGACGCTATTTAGCGCTACCGCGTCATTTTATCCTTGTTGTACATATAAAGAGTAATACAGACAGCACGTCTCCTCGAACGCACCCCAAGTAGATATATGCTCTGCTAATTAAGTATGAATACATTCACACTTTGATAGAAAAAAAAGTGATCAAACAAAATATGTATTCTTTTTAGTCGAACTAATATTGCGCTGGAACTTCGTTCCTTTTCTCTTCAATGCTAGGTCATACACTTACTTCACTCGAGGCAGGTTCCACTTGCGAGCGTCGTTCTGTCTTTGTTTAACATCCAAGAGAAGCGAGAATAGAATGATGCTCGTGATCGTTGCGAGCGTTAAGTGGAACGCATCCTCTAAAGACAAAAGGTGCAATCTAGTTGGTCTAAAACGAACAAATCTAAAGATTGCAAGAGAGTAGAGAAAGCGCAGTTAAAAAGTACATACTATAGTTCTACAATTTTCCGTGCTCGATGGAAACGCGACTTGTTTAAACGTATGAAATGTTTGAATAGGTGGGCGGGAATGTAACTAACGCAACGATTCATCAGCGTAACTCCGCGATGTGCACGTCGTTCGCCGCTCGAATTGTAATAAAGGAATATTCGGTTGCGGTATAATACGCGACGCGTGAGAGCTTCAGAACAATCCGCAAGGACAAAAGGTCACGCACGTCAATGGCGATCTCTGTCGGCAAGCGATGTTTACATTCCATAACCGAGAATTGACATCAATCAACGCACTCAGAGCATTTCGAATGTTCGAGGTAGTAAGAGTTATTAATATTCTTGTGCATTGCGTTACATCACGTGTATCACAACTTGTCTTGTGCGTTTGTCGCATATTTGTGTCGTTATGTTTCGAGCCGACAAGCATACCGCGACGCGAAGTTGGTGTATCGGTTATTGTTCTTGTCGGGTGATCCAAAGTTTTCTCACCGGTTCTTGAAATATTTAATCGTATTCTCGTCGCGTTAGTTGGCATGTGTTAACCTAACTTAACCTAACTTCCGCTCATAGCTATAGAAGTCAGTGCCACGAGTATTCGGAGTGCCGCAATGGAGTGAGACTAGGAGAGCAAAATTGAGACCAGGATGCTGGATCGGGAAGCCACGACGGAGATTGCAGAACGTGACCAGCGATATATCATATCATTTTTGGTGTGTGGAATCATTTATTATACGACTGAGAACATTAAGACGTTCTAAGACATCTTTTGAGGCAATATGTCTAAACGACGTCTCTGAGATGTCTTTTAGACATACATTTTATATAGGAAGATATTTCCAACTTGAACGCACGTTTGATGTGTTAAAAGTAAATTTATATCCAAGTCAAATTCTAAATCAGCATTCAATTTCGTCATTATAACATCATGATTCTTCAGGCATTCGTTAATCTGTATCTTATTTATATACTTATTTCATTAACGAGAAATATAATTCAAACAGATGAAATGCTGAATACTCTGTTATTAATTATTGCCAGCGATATATTGATAAACAACGTATTAGGTTTAGAAACAAATTACAAATAATTGCAAGATTCAATAGTGATTATCCAGTAAACAAGTAATGATAACGTTAAATCAATTATGTAATTTCCCTCTTAACAATGTAAATGCTACATAGCACATATATTGCATTTACATTACTGAGTGAGAAATTATACCATTGATGTTACTGTTAGTGTTTATTAGGTACATCGTTGACATTTCTTGTACGTTTAAATTACACACTCGGTGAAATGCGTGTCCGAAAAGAGTTTTTAGTCGCATTTTGTTTTCAGCATGGGAAGTGTATGTAACCATAACGGGAGTAAGTAAATATTCCGAGAATGCTTGTAATAAAGCGCGTTCCACTTTAGAATAGTGGTGCATCGCAGGCAGGTAAAGAGGGGGCAAACGGAAAGAAAACTGCAAGAAATTCCAAAGTTTATCTAAGCTATCTGCTGACTCTAAAATGTCAGGAAGTTTTTGTATGCTTTGCAAAGCTCCACGAAAATGATAATGCCAACATTTTTGCGAGGCTCGTGGGATACGTCTCACTAACAACGTCGAAAGTTGGGATTGTGCGCAAGTTTTAAAAAAAGGAAGCAAACATCGTTCGAAATTTTCAAGTACAAAGAGCTATAAGTCTAAGATTTATACGGTCAGTTTAACCTAATGTAAGTATGTCTCGCGAGAATTAGACAAAAGTGTAATTTTGAAAACTCATTTATGTAAATATTTGAAAATTTGTATTTACCGTGGGATCTTGAAAATTCTCGACACGCTTTCTTTCGAAGCACCGAAATACTCGATAAATTTCTACAAATTTGCGTCACTTTTCGCGAGAATCTTGAAACATCTTTACCTTAAAGCTCGTAATCTTAAGCTAAGACGCGTGTAAACTTTTTGCGCAGCTTTTGTGTACTTTTTACGACGATCTTGGAATCTCTCTTTAAACTTTCTTGGATTCTTTTGGCAATCCTTTCGTAAAGATCTGAAAATCTCTCGGGTGTTTGCGAAGCGTAAATTTGTTAAAGCGCGGGTGCGTTTTCAGAAGATTAGGTTGCCTCGATCCTATAATGCGGTGAGATCCGGTGCGAAACACCTTCATCCACGATGACTATCTCGCAGCGTCTTACCCAATTAGCATGTTTTAGCTCGCTTAGAATCCATGAAGAAAGTTTCAAGATTGCTAACGAAAACACAGGCGGACTAAATATAGAGGAGAAGCTTTGACAGGATAAAAGAAGTTCGATATATCAGACTGTAGCAAGTTTAATATGCCACAAAATTCCCCGATCAATACGAAGTTAATTTTTCCAAGGCAAAAATTTAATCACGACTTTACAACGTTTGAATTTAGATATTTTTATCGCTGAACTTCAGATGGAAATTTGGTTAAAACGTAGTCCACTTAAATTTGAATGTACAATCGATGAAAATAAAATTTTGTCAAACGCATCCCACCTTTCAAAGTTTCGTTCATGAAAATTCATAAAATCTCATAAAATTTTCCGTCGCGCTTATAACTCGTGGACAATTAACACTGTGCTATTTTTGTGGCAAAATCAATCCTAACAGATTCGTAGGCAAAACAAAATTTCGACCGCCGTGTATACTTACAGCGTGATTATTTTTCTGTCATTGCTGCCGTTAACATCAGCGACAAATGAATACTCAACAAAAGAAGTACATATACGTGGTATTTGCAGAAATAAAAAATTCGTATGTTTTCCGAACTATTGCTCCGAAGTAGAGAGATTTTACGTATTTCGAAGTCGGTGCGCTATTTTACACGCACACACTTTCCGAGTTATAGGACACGCGAAGACGATATCTGTGTTTATACGTAGCAATGGAAACGCGACATCGGTGAAAGGCATACTTCCGTTTATCCGTAGCATCGAAAATCGAACCCACCGAAATTATACCGCTTTTAATCCACGACCCGTCTCCCTGACATTCCACTTTCAACCGTCCACCTCTCCGTCTATTCGGTCCTATTTTCCCCCTGACACCCGCCTTTTATCGTCTCACACTCGACGCGATGGTAATTGCTTGAATTTCCGAGGCCCTCGCGCAGCTGAACATCGCCGAGCTAGCTAGGCGCGAGCGGAGACAAGCGTTTAATTTACCTGGACCAAGTTCGCGCGCGCGCCAAGTCCTTGTCGCAGTCCGTGGCGCCGAATGAAATTGCGAAAGTTGTTCGTCTAGAACGACAATGGCGCAAACGAGGTGTGAAGCGAGGCTATGAAATATAACGGCACGATGACGACGATGGCGACGAGTCAACCAGCCCGGAGGCCTCCCGGCAACTTTTTTCCACGCACCCGTGTAACATCGCAATGATCGATACTGCACATTTTTCAACTGCCGGATCAGTGTATACAGGCTATGTCACAACTGTCGCACGATACTTTGATAACTCATTTTAGAGTGTAACTCTAATTGGAAATTTTTATATGAAATTCTAGACATTACGGCGTAGGCATAATTGACGAATAACACAAGCCTACATGTATTGCCATTTTGAAATTTGCGCGCCTCTTAGAAAGCGCGCGTAAACTACGCGGCTTAGACGCCATTACAGTTTTTAGCGCGACAGTGAACGGGTCGTGTCGTGTCGAGTGTTCTATTCCCAATTTTCCTATATTAATTAAAGTGATCGTGAAACAAATTACGGTACATTACGCGCGCGATTACCGTGATCATCGTGAGCAATAAGACTATCGTGAAATTTACAAGGTAGTTAATATTTGATATTCGATATTAGATTCTAGCCTCTTTGCTGTGAATGTCGACTATAGTCGACCACATATTTTCGTGTTGTTATTGACTATAATTTTTATACAGGTCAATAATAATTTTGCAATAATAATTTTGCAATAATAATTTTGCAAAACACATGAAAATGTTTCGCGTAACTTTGCTCTCGGCCACTGAGTAATACACTTACTACCGAAGAGGTTAAAAAAATTTAACAAGAACGTTGAAGAAGTTAAATAGAAACAGAATCTTTCATATTTCGAGTTCGTCTAAATTGAATGATAATTTTATCATCATAACTAATGAAGAAAATTATTTCTTATTGCAGACTTGACAGAGGCACACGCAGATCAAATTCGACGGCATCTTTTCTGTGGACACAAATATAGTACCGGGTCCGATTCGGGCAGAATAGGGTCGGCTCGAAGGTAGATTTATGCTTTTTATGCTCTTTTTATATTCTTGTAATCCTCTTTAATCTTTGCGATCAAAAGCTGAGATACAATTGTCAAAATAAAATTGGTTAAGTTACGACTGTAATGGCCTAATCAATTTATGCGCACTTGTTCACCAGCTGAATTCTTATATCTAATCAGCAAAACTATATTTTTTATTCCAGATTTGAAAGCAGAACGTGGCCGGCTCTGTCTTCAGGATATTTCTGTGAGTGAACGAAATAAATATGAAAATTGTGAAAGGTAGTAATAGTAGATGTTTAGAAAATTTTGTTGTTTGTGTGTAACATTGTCAGAATCAGTGTGATTTATTTTTCTAGAATTTCGTACGCATATATTTGTATATGTGCAATTGTACGAAGTACACTGCTCAAAATAAATAGAAGATTGCTTCTTCACATACTTGATATTTAAAATATGGAATATTTCATTTGAAATATGAAATATTTTTCGTAGTATTTAATTTTAATTAAGTGAACATATTCATGTAATTGCCATATTTTAGCTACTTATTCTTATATTTTTACTCTTATATTATTTGATTCAAGTTATACAAGTTATACAATTATTCAAGAGAACGATTCATTTAGTGCGACTCTCCAATTGTTTCGAGCAATATGCAATCAGCAGCAGAATCGAAATGTCAGAATCGCACCAACGCGCACAATATTCGTGATTACTTTGCTCGTGCACCGCGTTAAGAGATTTCGCGATCGGCCTTTAATTCGAGATTTTTCGCATACAGATTTAAATCCTGATTGCTTCGCTCACCGATTTCAATTCGTGGTATTTATTATCGATTTTCTTAAATACCATTCGCGCAGTGAATGTATTGAAATGGCATTACAACACATTATGAATTCGCGAGGCGGGAAATTCGTTTTTCTACAAATAAAATGAAATATTGTTATTGGTATTTCCGATTTTACCGAAGACACCGCGATCTTTAGTTCACGAGTTTTCACACGCGATTCACAATTCGCCAGTGTGTTCCTGACAAGCCAAAATTTACCATACCGCAATAGATATTCGATAAATGATTTCGTAGATTCTGATTTCGTGTTTCGTTAATCAAATTTGCAAATGCCGTCCGAGAAATAAATCAAAACTTTCCGTTCGTTAAACGCCTTTATAATGTGAATATGAATCGTGTCGCGAGTGTACTGAAGTGTAGCGAAATGAAGTGCAATCAACGCGGGACAAAGCAGCACGGAATTCCGGATGCGGAGCGATGCAGTTCGGGATGCAGTAGCTGCTTTCGTCGGCGGACCTGGTTGGGCGTTGGTGAATTTCAACGCACAATGTGAACGTTGTATTTCATCAATATTCTTAGAGTATTTCATAAAATGCATAAATCAATTGTATTGATTTTCAACGGGAAGATTAACACTTTCGTTACCAGATCTTGAAAACTCTCGCTACAGATCTTATATCTTGTATAACTTGTATAACTTGAATCAAATAATATAAGAATAAAAATATAAGAATAAGTAGCTAAAATATGGCAATTACATGAATATGTTCACTTAATTAAAATTAAATACTACGAAAAATATTTCATATTTCAAATGAAATATTGTAAGTAATTTTTATGCGATATAGTGCATACTCTGTATTTATATAAACAGAGAATATATCAAGAAGGTTAACTAAATGAATGATCTATTCTGTTAATCGATGTCGCAAATATATGGCATTGATGACAAAAGTGTTAATAGTAGGTGTATATTATTTAAGACTGAATTTTCGTGCAATTTAATATCCGTATATTAAAAGTATGATATTTGTATGACATATTTTCTGAAACTTAATTAAAATTAAAATTTTTGTTACGAAAATGTCAAAGCTGCTATATATTTATACACACACACACGCGCGCGCGCGCACGCACGCACGCACGCACGCACGCACGCACGCACACATCCGGAAAGAGAAACGTTTTTCTTGCGGCCGAACACCATCGACACAACGTTGGCCGACTTGGGCCGAGTTATGAATAATGCATGCGATAAATTCGCGTCGCACGCATGCAAGCGCGCCGGTAATTCCATTAGCTGTACCGTTTTATCGCCCGATACCGCGGATTCAATTGAGTAACTCCTTTTATACCGTCAAGTACCATTCCATTATTTCCTACGATCGCCCTACGCCACAAGTCGACGAGCGAAGGGCGTGTGATATGTAGTATGCGATCCCAATATTTCTCGCGCGCGATAAATGTCGCGTAGGGTATTAAATGGCTCATTAATATCTATAGCTATCTCCCCTAATGTTCGTCTCGCCGTCTCGTCAATTATTGTTACGACAAGACATTTTCGGTATATTTTCGGACCAACACGATTATTTTTGTATTACGCTGAATGTCGCTTTACTCGGAAACCGAGATCGGAGAATAGATTTTACTACACTTCGTCGTTGAATCGTGTCAGTTATAGTCGTAGCTGGAATCGATAGTCGGAATCCGATGATGGAAATATGTTAAAACATTAACGTTCGTTACGTGGCCGAACACAAATGTGTCTGAGTTATTCTATAACTTTGTAAATATAAACGAAATGAATTCGTTATAAGGCTTTATCACTGAATACAAGTACGACATACGTTTATGTTACACGTGACATCTCTACTATTGGCATACGATATATGCGTAATAGGTAACGGGTAAGCATCTAGAATTACTTTTTGCGTTACACTCTCAGCACAAATATTATAACGGAAAGTCACTGCGATGTTGCGATCGCATTTATTAATATATTCGATACATCTTTCGTGAGATAATATATTTTCTATTTCTGACGCAAGTATTATGAAATTTTCAATATGTAATATTTTTTATTTGATTATCGAAAATTAAAAATTACCGCTCGTGTGCTATTTATCGGCTTAGATCATTTATTACAAGGTTGAACATGAGTATAAATAGAAAACTAGACGGCAACTGAGAGGGCTAAGTGGCGAGACGATAATAGCGGGAGTTCATACACAGTTAAAGTGCCACGCTATAACTTCATTCACTCGTGCGATATATATGTGTATATATGTATGTGATATGAGGAATGCGCGTTTAATTAATTTTACATATAAATATATGTAACTTAATACAGGTAGATAATTGAGTATTCTCTTCTAGGTGTTGCAAATTTAACCCCTTGCTGTATTTTGTTTAAAATATTGTTTAAACCATCTCACCATTAGCACATTGATAATATCACATATTTCTTGGGCCACAGTATAATCTCTATTATATCCCAATTAAGCGATTATGTAACACAAACGAGCATGTATAAACGGATATTTATTTCCCCTTGGGGATTTAACAACGCCGAGTGGAGTATCATATTCTACTCTTATTCCTTACTTTATCTCATAAAAAATTCCATATTTTATTCTAACGTGATCTCGTTGAACTGCCCGCCTAATTATAAATTTGCACTTGATAACTTACTTCTTTATCCTCCTCTATCACAAGGTTGTTATACATTATCTCTTTTTATTGTTTCCCTATACATCTTTTTATTTATTAATGATGAAAAATATGAAGGAACTTCGTTTTCATCGAATCTTGGTCTTTGCGAAGCGTGAATTGAAATTTTTGTCTTAATGTACGATGAGCTTTTTCAAAGCTTTCTTAAATCGTAATTTAGTAAACAAACATAATCGTTTCACAAAAGATACACGTAATTCTAGGAAAAATCACGTAACATATATCTCGCGTCACAGTTGCTATCGTTTCTATGTGCTCATCTCCCTTCAAAATTTGAAATTATAAATCTTCCTTTTTCCGTTTACGTTAACCATAGTGAAAAGCGGGATCGTACGGGTATCGCAGGCAAACAGCAAACAATCGACTTCCTCTCCGTTTACGAACCGCAAACATGAGCCATAAATCTCGACGTTTCTTTCCCCCTATCTCTCCTGCTCTTTGACTAGAACAGCACTCGTAAATCTCTCTTCCGCCCCGACCAGCGAATGTCGCGTTGCAATTAATGTAATTAAACTGAATCTTAATTATCGCAGACATGGTAGACGAGATTTTATCTGTGTCATGAAGCGTCGTTTTGTTACTTCCTATGTGCGAGCATCTCTTATATCATGTTAAAAGCTTATTTCACTCTATTCTTGTTATTATTATTCCACCGTGACATCTGTTTCTCGTTCTTTCACATTTTATTTGTTCGTTAACGTCAATTTCATTACTGTTGGAATATCCAAATACTTACACACATCCAGTAATAATAATAATTTTAACAATTTACACCCGCGACTCAGCTGTAGCCAAAATGTCGCGGCATCTTCGTAATTTTCATAAGATTCGTTACCGGAAGAAGTAACAAAGCGATGAAATATTTGACGACGTTTTCTGCCACTAAATTACGTCCACGATCTGAGTTTTTACGTCGGGAGTTACCGAGAGAGAGAGAGAGAGAGAGAGAGAGAGAGAGCGTCAAGAATTAGAGGCAAAAGAGTAGCGGCTCAAAAATATCCGTCTCGTCGTGTTTTTCACGATTTCGAGCACTCTTTGACGATTTCCCCACGGTCTCTCTAATACCGCGTACGCACGCCACGGTCATCCCGTTTCCTCGTTGCGCGGCGGGCGGTCATGCAAGATGATTAGACAGCGGCGATGTAATTACCTTCCGTGCACATGAAGAGTATGGCAGCAATCGAGAGCCTCGCTTGCCATCTTAGAGCCATTTCCGCGACTGTTTGGTAGTACGTTTGCACTTTGGTACTGAAACGATTCACATCATCCACCCAAATTAGCTGCTACCACCATCCACTCACTGATACAGCACACCAGGCGATAAGGCGAGGTTATCGCGCCTTGCTCCGGCTCTTACGCCGATCAACACACAAGTGTCGTCGCGCAGCAATCAGCCGGGACCGCATCCGTCGCGAAACGAAACGGCGGACGTCGCGATCGCTCCGAGGTTACAATCCGTCGCGAGAGGATCGAGTAATCGCGAGAACACGGCGGTGTCCTATCGAGATTCTTGCGAGATGCTATCCCGTCGGACGACGCGCGCCTGCATCCCCTACTACGTAGGGTAGTCACCACGTAGGCGATAACGCGCGTGGAAATGATTATGGCGAAACTTTGGACGGGCGGTGCGCCGCGTGCCGCGAAACTTTCCACCTGTCGTCGTTGTCCGCCTGGCACACTGTTCGCACACTGCTCGGATAAGGTCCTCGCCCTGTTCACCACCGCTGCACTCCGCTTCTTCACGCGATGTCAGCTCGGCTGTTTAGATCCTTTGACCTCCGAACGATCCCGTGGGTATCGAAGCCCCTCGGGGACTCGAGAACTCACACTTTGCTCGGACTTGGACAATTTCCAGGCAGGGAAACGCTAACGGGTCACGGTGACCCTTTAAAGGGCGGTCCCGGTTACCGTCGCGCGAACGCGCGCGGTCCGCATCATCGCGCGGGGAATCCGGAGGATCGAAAATCTCGGTGGAGTAATCGCGAAACACATAGCGAGAACGTCTCCTTCGATCCCCTTTTTCTTTCCCCCCAAGTCTGCGATCGACGCCGCTGCGGACCGGATCGTCCGAAGCAGCCGATCGATCGATCGCGCGTCACTCGCGAGTCAATTCGTAATTCAATGACTCCGAAACGTACTCCTTTTGTCCTCGCACACGGGAGCGCGCAGAAAGGTTTTCAGGTCCGGTCGCAGGGAGGTTCTCTGTCTGCCGCGTAAGCGCACTCGTCACCCACGTCGGGGACCCTCTTTTACGACCATTAATAATTCATCGTCCGAAACTGTTCCTCGGGTTTACCGCCTCGTTTCCCCTTCTTTACTTTACTTTACTTTTCTTTTCCTTCCTTCCCTTTCCCCTGCCGTCGCTCCACCACCTTGGTCTCGCCGCGCGCCGACTACGTCTCGACGATCAAGCCGGAACTCCGCCCGCCGCGAGTTTCCATGTCGATTTTGAATCGCGCTCTGTCGCTCCGTATTATTTTAAGAAATCGTCACGATGATCGTACGCGTACGCGACATTGTATATAGTATAACGGCACGCACCACGTCTTGTTTCGGTGGCAGATTTACCCTGACTGGGGAGATTCTCGGCCGTGGGAGCATGCGCGTTTCCGATCCACCCCCTGTGACGGTGGAAGCGCGCAGAGGCTCTACGGATACACACGTACACACAGAAACTTTCTCCCTCCCCNCCCCCCCCCCCCCCCTCTCTCTCTTTCTCTCTCTCTCTCACTCTCTCACTCTCGGTCTTTCTCTCTCAGTTTCTCTTTCTCTCCTCCAACAGGGAGGACGTCGACACACGTTCGTCCTGGGGCGCGTACGCACACTCACGCACAGATTCATATGTGTGGTGAGGTAAGGGAAACCCCTTCTTCCCCCTCCCCCCCTCTCTTTCTCTCTTCCATCCCTTCCTCCCTCCCTCTTCTCCTCTCTTCCTGCTACCCCTCTCTTCTCACCCTCATTCCTCACCCTCCAGGACGTACGGTACTGTGTGTCACGGGCAGAAACTGTGGCAGGGCGTGCAAGGAGTGCAGAATCAAAGTACGAAATCTACGGCACTCTTAGAGCCGTTGCGATGGGCTTAAAGATTTATTCGCGTCTCCACGTACTTGTCAATCCAATCACGAATATGGTGGTCCCTCGACTGCCAGCCTTGAGATTTCTTCGTCGTCGATATATGAAGAGTTCCGATGATGGCATGACGGAACTCGAGAAATTCCTCGTTGATATTCTGAAATCAAAATGGATAATTTGCAATCGGATCGTAAACGGATAGATTTGCTATAAATTACTCGTATTAAATTAGACGAATCGATAGTATATTGACATTTTGCGAATTTGCGAATCTTGACGACCTATAAATTTATAGAGCAAGAAATGAATTTTAATTTCTAAAATTGTTGAAGATTAAGACTATAAATTGCTACATTAATTCTTTTCTGAAATTCCCGACGATATTTTGTAATGTGTTTTTCTTAAACCTTTCAACTTTTATGTAAGAGAATGTTTTTATCTTCGATAATTTTCAATAATATTAAACGGATACGATTTCACAAAGGGTTTTTATATATAATTTTAATTGCCAAAAGCAATACACATACTACCTGTCGCGATTGTGAAATAATATTAATTATTTCAAAGGCCGGAAAAATCGTCGTTAGTCGAGGTTCATTTTTTTATATTTATCTGTTTGTCCAAAATGTATCTGTACATAATAATGTATTTTCTTACATATATATTGTGCAGTTGCATTCTCCTTTGTTTTTCACAGTTTATTTACATTTCCAAATATTGATATTGTTGAACACCAAGAATCAGATCTACCGTTGGCCGCGAAAACGACACTTTAGAAAAGCAAGTAACACGAACTCGAGCAATGTGACTGAAAGCAACAAGAATACGAATTATAAAGGAACGGATAATGTGAAAGAGACGTTGTAGGAATACCAATAAACCGCATAAAAGTTTCGGGGTATACTTAAAGAACCGTATGCGATACCTACGTGCAGATGCTATCAAAGATCTGGTTGAAGTGCTTATCGACATCCAAAAAGCACGCAGACCTGATCTTTCGTTTTTCTCTCACTAATACTGTACTGTACGTTATCGATTATATGTATGGACAATATTGTGTTGTTTACGAAAAAGTTGATATGATACTGTGAAAGGTACTTAAATTACAACGGTCAACAATTCATATCCGATGAATGTATCGCTGTTGAATTAGTGTTTTATTAATTAATAATTAATCTTATTAATTATAAAATCATACTCGTAGATTTTTCAGTCACATTGATCGACAAACGTTATTGAAATGTCAAAACGTAGACATATTGAAATGTCATGTGATGGAATTTTTGTTCCGCGAAAAACATAATACTGTGAGAATCGACGGAGCTAATCATATTATCAGTGATCCAATTGATACGGGCGAATACGTCAGCAGTGCTTTCAAAGTATGTCAACGGTGCATGAACTTTTTGCACGAAAGTGTTATTGGTAATTTTCAAAATTGCTCGTATTTTTATTTCACTGGATATATCGATCCGCGGTCGTGACGGGCGTTATTTTTACACGGTGAAACAACGTTGGAAAATATCGGCATAAATTCTTATTGCAGAGAAGGAGAGATATAATGGACGTGAATCGAATTAAGAAAGAAGTATATAAGATAAATGATTTGAAACAGAAAAGAGATTAGCCGAGGCTATTCTGAGGTATTCATTAAATCTTGTTTTCATATCAGATATCGAGAGGAGAGAAAGAGCAAGAAAAGAAAGAAAATAAAAGGAAAGAGCTACAATAAGAGTTGTTTAATAATCAATTAATTCATTAGCAACATTTTGATTAAAATATTGCTATTATAAAATCTCCAGATAGCAAGAAAAATATGTCATAATATTCACTAAATTCGTTCACTAATTAAAATCCTTATCCTTTCTCTTGCTACAGATTGCAGTTTTGCGATCCAGTTTATATTCTATTTCCATCTAACTGACCTTAACGAAACTGAGGCCTGCGACAATAGGAAAGAAAATATATTAGCCAACTTCTAATTTCATTTCATTCCATCTGTTGTAAAAATACGGATTTACCGTCGAAATGCCAAAGCGTAAATCTAACATTTGTTTATGTAGGACGCGCGACCGATTTGCCCGTAAATTTGCCGCGATTCAGAACTTTTAACCGGTTTACGCGTCGCGACAAAATAGAAGTAAATATCGCGGGAGATTTTCCTACCGTTATTCGATGCGACTTAACGTAGTCGAATTGGAAACTGTGCATTGAAAATACTTCATCGTTTGATTTACGTTTGCATGTATCATCGCTTTTAAGCTGCCAGCAGTAATCATCCAAACGCGGCCGACCACCATTTCCCTCGATAGTGCTTTTTCACGCGGTGAAACTTTTACTTCTGTTTCGGCATGGATGAAAATTCTGCTGCCCCGGATCCCACGTATAACAACCATTAACGTTCTCAATCGCGAACATATTTTCGCTTTGTTTGTAAAATACAAACATATTTTTACAGTCGGTCGGTACTATCACCTGGATTTGCGCGCGTCGAACATTTGAAGTGTCTAACGTTACCTTTTTTTTATGTAACCTAGTTCTCTTTTCATGGTAACGAAGGGAACGAGTAAGTTACAAATTGCTACATCCAAATTCCAAAACTGTGTTCGGGAAAAGGGATCGAGTCGGAAGTCGCGTATGTAACTGATTTAGTATATATACATTTATCTTTGCTAGTATATATACATTCTAGTATATATAATCTAGTATATATACATACATCTCTTAATATATAAAAATTCGGCGCGCACCGAAAGAGTTGACTTTGCTCACCGGATCGCCTCCGTTCGGCGTGTCTTCTTTATGGCTTGGTTTTCTATCGGTCACTGTGAGTCGCTTGGGCCTTCGGGATGGTACATAATGCATAATTAATGTGTATAGATCGACAACATTTCTAGAGCCCGGGTAAATATTCGGCCGGCTATGGTAAGGTCGAGCCGCGGAGGCTTTAAATATTAACTCACGTCTCCATTTTGCATGTCGACACGATCATGGGATATATCGGGCTGGGCAAGCCTAAACGATCATGCGATATTGCAGTATGTCAGTGGTTGGAGCAGCGAGGCGTATTCGCACGAAAGTACGCCATGTGTTCACGTGAAATACGTAACATTACTTGGCTGGATGAAGCGCAAGTGACGCTATCGCGGTAGACATACATTATTAATCCCGCGAGACGAATGTTCCAAGACCGATTCGTTGATAGGCAAATATATGTTCAGCATTGTTACGCGATAAAGGAAGAATCTACATCGTACCATCGCGCGGTATTTCGAATAAATTAAACTCTGCCCAGAAATAAAATTCTACGTCGATAAGAGAATGACGTACGTATGTGTATATAGCGCGGCAAGAAGATAACGCGACTAGAAAGAATATATAAGAAAATCGATGTGTCGAGTATGAATAATGTGTTTGATTTATTTTCTCTAAAATAATCCAAGATCTTTCCCGGCGTTATTTGCAATATCGGTGTACGTTTTCAAAAGACTTTAAACATTTCGCTTTAATAGCGTTTGGTCTCTCCGTTACATTCTTCTGCTGCAGAAAGGAAACGCTGTTCTTTCAAAATTCAATTTCAATTTCGAGAAGAAAGAAGAAGAAGAAGACATGCATTCAGGCAGAGGGAGAAAGAGAATGAATATTTATAATTTAATTCCACTACACGCACATCGTCTTTGCCGCGCTGTATAAATATCTTTATTGATTCGTACGAAACACGCGCTTTAGAAAGAACAGCCCATTTCCCATCTTCGCCATTAAATTACGTTGCTAAATATGATATTCGATTTTTAATAAGAACACGTCAAGTACGACATTAACGATTATTCGGTATTTCTTCCTTAAAATTAGCTACAAAACGATGTATGTAGCTCGACGAGCGCTAATGAAGAAAGCACACGCAATCGGAGCGACATTCATATCGGGCACCATTTGGAAAGCAAATCGACGCCCTCGATTCGCCGTCATTATCGGTAAATAATTAAACGTTTGCGCGTCGCGAGTGCTGACACGTAGCTCCGGCCGCAGGGCGTGCAGGCGTGTTTTCGTTCGGCCGCCCGAAGGTGCTCGTTTGCGTTTGCCAGGGAAAGGAATGGAACGGCAGCGGTGTTGCACATTAATCTCTCTGTCTGTTTATTTCTCTCATCGTATTGCTCGTTCGCCGAATTCAATTCCACGCCGGCCGTCGGCGGGCCACGAAGGCGATCGCGACGCGATACGCATCGCGGCATATCGGATACAACTCATTTCAGACGCTGATCGCGCGAAGGCGTGACCACGGAGGTTGAGGTGTTAGCTCGAAAATGGATAAAAAATCGAATGTCCCGCTCGATGACGTACAGGCCTTCCACCGGCTGAGTTATAAATAACGTCTCGCGTGACGTAGCCGTACCTTGGCAAGCGGGACCATTCATCAGCTCTCGCGCCTCGCACGTGAACGCTCCGATAACGACTCGACGCGAG